AAAAGAGAAAACGAATGTGCCAGCTTGTTGAGAGCATATAACTAAATGGATAATACTGTTCTTTAAAATGATATGCACTTAAGTTCTCTCAGGGTATTCTTATTTGTAATGTGCTGGTGAAAGTTATTCTTGTTTTTCTACTTTTCATCACTTTTATAATAAGTCGTGTATTTTTGTGATTAAACAGTACAACAGTAATCAAAATTATCAAAGTAACTCATACCCTTCAATAGATAATATTGTTATATCTTAACTAACGTTTGTGACAAACTTTTTTTTTTACAGGTCCAAATATTGTATTTATAGCCAAGAATGTAACATACAAAAATCTTGTCAATGGAGGCACTGTCATATTTGGCTCTACACTTGTTAATGAAGGAAATGCTTATAATACATCTACTGGAATCTTCACTGCGCCTGTCAACGGAACGTACTCATTTAGTATACAAATGTGTTCCTATAAACAAAAACAAGTCGTATTACATCTCATAGTAGATGGGACAACATATGCTACCGTATATGTTTATGATAATGGTTCGTTCCCATGTAATAGTGCAGATACAGTTGCAGTTTTACATGAACATTCAAAAGTATTTGTTAAATGCACTGATGGTTGTACTGCGAGTGATATATATGAAGATAATGACCGTATGAACTGGTTCTCTGGATATCTGGTTCACCAGTAAAACTTTTTAGGTCACTTTTCTCTTCTTTTCATCCGTATTATTTATTTCTAATCGTTGCGGCGTTTTTATCGGTAAAATCATAACAAAAGACACGTCTGACTGAGCTAAGCACGAAACTTTACTTAATAGATATTTTACATTTTTTCATTGACAGTGAATTTGTAATATTGCACTTTTTTGATAAAAAGAAGAGAAGGGAAGTTCATCAATTAGTACTTATATAAATGTATGTTTGAAAAAATGTGATGAAACCAACTGATAAACGCAAGGTTGATGAAGTATTTAACTGTATTTACTGTACTATTCTATCGAATCTTAATGCAAAGCTACCTACAGAATTAAATAGTTTATGCGATCAGTTTGTTCCTTTTTTTACATAAAAGGAGTTTACCTAAAATTATTTTTTCATTGACGACTGAAAGAAAAATTAAGGAAGATTCAAATAAATTTACTGGTTTAGACGATATCTCGTCTCTTTTTTGTTAGAGTAAGTGTATCTATTGTCTTATTTCTTTTAGCACATATTGTAAATGCCAATAATACAAGGTACTGTAAGTTCTGTAACAGATTATATGAAGACAGCGAGAGATGTTCCTTGATCAAACTGTAGTTGGCAGTTATAGGAATATATCCATTTGTTGAATAATTATGTCTCCCAAATTTTTTTTTGGAAGACATATTGTTTTTGCCTTTGCCGTTTGTCCGTCCGTCCGCATTCAGCTTGTCCGGCCTTCATAGGTCAAACTGCTTCCGGGATTTCAACAAAACTTCAAAGGAGTGATTAGTGCCTTCCCTAGTTGTGCATATCGTCGGCTAGTTCCGATTGGCTGTACAAAATTAAACCACATTTGTTTAACGCAATTTGATAAAGTATTTAACTATATTCACTGTATCATTTGATCAAATCTTACTTTAAAGCTATCTGTTGTGTTAAATAGTTTATGCAAGCAGTGTGTTCTTTTTTCTTTCAACTTAAGGCGTACTTAATGTACCAGATGATATAAAGGCATGGAGAGATTAATTAAAATGTAATTTTCAGTTTCAAAATGTATGTAGTTGAATTATACACCCCTTTTTTTAACATTTCACGTTTCCGTCTTCTAGAGGAACGAAAAATAAGTTTTTTAATTTTTTAAAATTTATCAAATTTATTTTAATTGATAGAAAAAAGAAAGGCATTTAAAAAACTCAAAAGGCGTCCAAGCAAGAATAAGCAATGAAGATGAACTTAGTAGAATCTGATACCAGATATTCTTAAAACTTTTCAATTTAATTGGGTTTTAATAAATTGTATATCATTTTTTTAAAAGACGGAAACATTGTTTTACAGAACTTTTGGGAGCATGCTAAGATTAGAATACTGATGTTTTTTCCACAGGAACTTGAAATTCTATCACTATAAATGCGACATTGAAAGTTATGAACTAGGTTGGTTAAAATGTCATAAGTGCAATCATGGCCGTAAAAAAGAAAACCGGAAAGAACCTTCGGAAAAGACAATTCCAAATTGATAATACTATGATATAACAATTCGTAAAAATGGCTTATTTAAATTTTGTCTATAGATTTATAAAGAGTACAATGAATTGTTTAAATATGTTTGCATTTCATTTCCTGCAAAATTCTCCAGTTCATTATAATTTATTATCATAGAGCGATACGAATGACCGTTTAGTTAAACTAAAACTACTTCTATAAATAGATTTTCGGACTGTCACAATGTTAAGGTCATCATTCTATTTATAGGTACAGCAATAACAATCAAAATAACCAAATAACCCACTGTGTGCTACAACATGATTAATAAAAAACAACCAAAGAGCGCGATTAATTGACGGATAAGATAATTTCATTTGAATATGTTTGCATTGCGAAATTCTCCAGTTTGCTATCCATTGTATATTTGATAATCAAACACCCTCATTCCAATCGGAATAATAGGCTCTTATGACTGACGAAAAGGCCCGAGAAGTTGCAATTGCCCTTTCACAAAATCTGATTTCATTCCATAAAGGGCGTCGCGCTTAGGTGCGGACGCCAATAATCACTTTTTATCATAACATGAGCGGTCTTAAACATTTTTAATGCTTTTGCGTACAACAGAAAAAAATCTTATCTAAGGTTGTTAGGTAAGAGTGTGCATCAACTTGACATATATATTTGGTCTGTCTGAGTTAAAGCCATGGTCGAGGAACATGTTTTTCGTGACAAGGTGAATGAAATTATTCGTATCGTCCTCGATTCTTGATTAACATGGTTGATACTTGCTTGATACATGTTTTTAGTACTGGTACAAAATTTAGGAACATTTTGTGTATGAACTGGCAGCCATTTATTGATTATAATACTCCCTATTATAAGTGTATTTTCGTATAATGAAATGCTATGATAAACACACATTAGTAAAAATAATTAATGAAACAATTAAAAATAATAAAATAATGAGAGAGATTTTCGTAAGCATAGACCACAAAATATTCATACAAGCTATTAACCAAGAAAAGATTAAATTCATGTTATCCTTAAAGAAATTGGAACCGGCAATTCTCCTAAAGCATCCTACCATTGTGTTCTTTGGAACGTTTGTATGTAATTTAAATTCAAAAATATAATTTATAGACTATGAAAACAAACTACCGGTATACATTCTTCTACACATTAGTCGTTCATTAAATGGTCATACTTATTTTATATTAGTCTGTAAGTACATTTGTCCTTTTAAAATTCTTTCACATGGGTACTCAGAAAATTAACACTATATACATTATCGAAGTGTTCATCATCTCCCTTGAGGTGTTTATATTTTATTTGCATGGTTTGAATACGATATTGTTGTACAATATAGTTTAAGTCTTGGCTTGCAACTTGTATTTGCTCACTCTGATTTTCCAAATAATCGTTTAATTCTATTGTGCAAAATGACAGAACAATGAAAAACGACTTTGCAATGTTATTTTTAGGATATTACTTTCTTACCTTTCGAAATCTTAACGTTTTAAACTTCATCAGTTGATATATGTAAGAAAGTCAAGTTTTATATTCCTGGGGGGGGGGGGGGTTTCGGAAATCTTTTAATGTTAAATAATTCTAATAAATAGTCTTGTCTTGACAACGTAAGAGTAAAGAATTTACTTATTGAAGGTGTTTTCTTAAACAAGTAATAAAAGTGATTTAACAATATTATGCCAGCCAGCATTAAGACACTTTAGTGCTTAAAGGGAAATCTCTTGTCGTTGAAATATCGCAATTTTATGAAAACATTCTAAAGAAGAAAGTATTTGCCGTTGATAAAAACTTATATAGGACTCTATGTCATTCAGATAGCGTCATATTTTGTACATGTCGTGATGGTTATCTTATAAATTAGAAAAAGTTTCGTGCCAGTATACGGGACAACTTGCAAAGAGGGCACAAGAAAATAGAATGATTGCGATTACGTTAGGTAATTTTGTTTTTAATCTTTTATTTGAATAATGAAAATGAAAAAAAGCCAAAACACTCATTAAAATGGACATAAAATATTTTCTACAAACTTTCTCCAATGGCATGCATAATTAAGTGAATCATCTTTTGACAGATAATAATGGTGACATGTCCGAGGTTCATACATATTTCAGTGCCTGAAAGGGTGGATGGACTCTCAATTTGCCTACATGTGCGGAGGCAGCAATATGTTTCGGAAATTATATTTAATTGTGTTCAAGTGAACGCTTTAATGACTACATTAAATTAAAGTCGCCTTCAGCTGCTACGCATTAAATACGCTAAGAACCAAAATAATTCGCTTGTCATTACACAAATGTATTAAGGAATTTCCTTCAAGAGAATGTAAAATTACTAAAATTGCATTACAACTTATATATTTTAGGTTTTTCGATATACCTACTGCTTGTCTTTCCAAAGACATCTGGTAAGAATCTATATTATATATCTATATAGGTTATTATTTTATGACTTCGAAGCTGAACACAAACAATCATCAAATTTCACATTTTATTGAAACAATAAACACCCAGCATTACTTATGAGGTTCATTTATAACATCACTAATATACAGTATTAATCATTTAATAAATGAAATTGTAATGGCAGAAAATGGCCGCGAATTAAAAGCAAGCAAGCAAGGAGAAAGCCTTTGTCTTACTTTAGAGCCTGATGAGGGACGAGCGGACAAGCGCAGGTAATTTATAATCTAAGAGATATTAATACCCAAAGATTGCCTAGTACACTCGTGAAACTAGGAATTACCAGCCACTTCCATGGGCAAAACCCTGTTCACACTCACTGTCAACCGAGTGACATACTAACCGCCAGCAAAAACTTTAAACCACACAAGTTTACCAACACACTGATTTACTCGGCACTATACACTATTGCCCATTACTTCATGCAACACGACCACTTAACCGAGCCATACGCTGTTAAAGCTACACACTTTTGTACGCAATCAAAACAAACTGACTGAATGGCTGAACGGACATAATGGCGTACATGGACAAAACGGCTTTAGCGTACTTTGCGGTATAATAAATGACATGCTGGCGGTTGTGTACACACGCGAAAAATCAAAACTTGATTTATCACAGGCAATTTCTAGTATGAAAATTTCAAAATTATAAACAAGAGATAATCCACTACCCAGGAGAAAAAACCTTGGTTTAGCGATTACCCCTTATTTACTTACATGTATTGGTCCAAAATGACATGTCTATTCAATATGTACATGGCATATTTACTACTCAGGAGATACACCTTGATGTAGCATATAGCCATCAATGATTTAAGAATTAATATTAAATTTTAAACAAGTCTTGTCACTCATCCCCCATGGCATTTAATATTTCCGCGACAAATTGCTTTGTTTGATAATAACACTGTTTATATCTAAACATATAATATAATAATCAGTAGTATAATATTATTACTAAACGATTGAATCAAATTTAAATACACTGTATCTGCATAAGAGTTATAACATTGATAACATCGTATAATGTACT